CCGGAGCAAGTCCAGTGACGACGCGTACTGCGTGCCAGCGAGCTGCGCCAACAAACAAACAAACAAACAAACCCGCGTCAGATCGAGCGGCACACCCCCTAATCGACGCGAAAACAAACGGATAATTATACCCTAACGGCCTAACCCTACTCCGGCAGCAGGCACCGGGGTAACAAAGCAGGGCGCCCGCCGAGGGGCGGGGTGCGTACCTTGGAGAGGGCCGGGAGGGTGAGGAGCTCAGAGAAGGCGAAGAGGGCCGGGTGGGAGGTGGCCTCGAGCACCAGCGCGGCGAGCTGCGGCGCGGACGAAAGCGCCGCCGCCTGAGCGGAGAACTGCGCGATCAGCTCCGCCTGCCGCCGCTCTGCGTCCATCGCCATCGCCCCGCGGCGAGTCGGGGGCGCTAGGGTTAGGGTTTGGAGGATCCGACCGGGCCACCCGGGGTTTGGGCGTTTCGCTTTCGGCCTTCGCTCTCGCGTCCCGTCCTTAATGGTGTTCTCCCGGTGCGACGGTGCGGCTTTCCGCGAGTTTGTTTGGAGGGTTTTGGCCTCTACACGCCTGCGCCTGCTAGTGCGGGCGTTTAGGTTGCGTTTGCGACCGAATATTGCCCGCCTGTTCCGATAAAATGGTTTTGTTGTTAATATAAAAAATATTGTGTCTTGGTCTTTCTATATTTGGGATAAATCAAACTACTCTAGATTTGATTAAATTTATATACAATAATACCAGCTTGTATGTCAAATAGGTATAATATAAAAATACATTTCGTATAACAAAAAATAATAATACTTATTTGATATGGTTAATATTAAGTACTGGCAAATATACCCACACATTGCACGCACGTGCAAAACCTTGCATGGTCATGTGGAGCTGATCTTGAGAGATTGTATTAATCAGGAAAATGTCATAAATTATTCCCTCGTGTTGGATTTGAATTGTGCTAACCCTAGATTAGAAATTTGGTCTCACGTTGGATTGAGATTGGAAACATATCGACAATAAGAGTGAGATATGAGCGGGGTAGTGATCTGTGGTGGATGGGCTAACATATAAAAAGTGGGCAGAGTTTTTTTTAAAAGATTAGGTATAGATATAAATATAGAGGTATTATTGTTTGATGAAACTTTAACTAGTTTACTTAATAAAATAAAACAAATCCACAATATGTATATGAAATATAAAACTATACTATAAATAATTACTGAATTTCTTAATGAAATGATGTCTATATTGTGAGAGTTTCCCTTCAGATGGATATTAAAATAAATTAAATCAAGTGAATATCCCAGAGTTGGAAGTTAAGGCACTGTTTGGTTTGTGGAATTGTTTCTCATTCATATTGGAATCCAAAGAAACGTTGTCAAATGGTATGACATGGAAATGATTATCCCTCAGAACGTTTATATTGCGGCGAGCGAAAGGGTTCTTGGCTGAGCTGGCTTTGCTAAATTCCATTTCTAGATTCCCATGTACACCAACGGTCATATTTTTTAGCTAACCTTTTAAAATGCAGCGGGTTAAAATATGTTGTATTTAAAGTATTCTTCGCCCACAAAAAGTTCTAAATTTTTAAGCATATTTGTATTGATATGATTTTTTATGTAAAACAACTTTTTCGAATCAAAATCCAACCTACCAGCCAAACGGTCCCACAAAAGTGATTCTAATTTATCACCTAAAACGTTTCTTAAGAAAACCTTGTTTATACTTGTCTACAAAAATCTAGATCCCCACCAGACGGACCCTAAATTCCATGCACAAACAGTTCATGATAACTTCATTTATTTGTTTGTTTGTGTTTATTGGATTTTTGTTTGGATATTAATAACTTCATTTATTTGTTTGTCTGTGTTTATTGGATTTTTGCTTGGATATTCAAATTTAAGATCAATACATAAATCATTGAAAGTGCATCTAGGCCTCTTAGTGGATTTTTGGTGGGTGGATGATAAGACAATTGAAGGACTGATGAGTTTGACAGGATGGTTCTTTGAATTTGTTTCAGTGTTAATGATCATATCATACTAATGTCATATGTTGAAAGAAGAAGAGGCAAGGCTATTTGCTAAGGCAAAAAGAGACTGCGAAATGAATATGATTTTGTCGCAGCGGCTTGCTTTACATGATTAGGGAGACATTGATAGTTGTTTGGTATTGATCAAGTGTTGAAGAATGGGTCAAGAATGCATAAGCGGAGAAATATCAAGCAAGGGTCAAATGACAAATGATACAATATACAATGGATGGTCTCAATATTGGTTGCTTATTATATGCGCAAGAACTTGAACAACACTATGCATGGATATTGATCAAGTTGAAAGCATGAGGAAGAAAATTATCAACGGTGATGGTATTAGGAATAAATAGCAAGCCAAAGTGCAAAAGTAGAAAGAGACAAGGCCATGTATAAATAGAATGATCTCTTATGATGGCAAGCTCATATATGATGAAATACCATAGAATCACAGAAAGATGAGCCAAGTCATGTGAGTGTTTTTTTAGAGCGTAGTCATGTGTGTGATGGACAATATTTAGAATATGATTTGGTTGTGGATAATATTGATTTATGATTTCAAATGAATGTTTAATGTTGGTTCAAGGCATAACATGACTTGAGGATGGCTCGATAGAGTCAGTTGCCAGTGTGCACATCAGCACATATATATATGCTAGTGTCTGCACATGTGCTATATTTTTCCTTTCTTTTTCTTGTGTGGTGGGAGAGCAGACGAAATATAGTTGTAGAATCGAAATTGTCAATCATATTCCACTGACTATAGGCTGCTGGGACTTTTCTTTTTGCGAATGCTACTGGAACTATTTAGTTAAGATGGACAATTAAGGTAAGGGCTCTCCGAAGGTCCCTTTTTTCCCCCCTTTTGGAAAATATGTTATGCACATGCTCATAAGTATGCACGTCCACTCATCTTTTTTAACGAACACAGAGTCCAATCCTATCTTTATGAGTTTCAACATGAACACAAGGTAACACATCTCAAAGTTTTTTTTTGATCTCAACACATCTCAAAGTTGAGCGTGAGGTAACACATCTGCCCAACGAAAATTGACCGAGCCCATTGGTTCCAGACATTCCGTCCTCGGCCGCGTCTCAAATCAAATTTCTCGATATCTCTCGGTCTCGGACAAGGACAGAGCGAGACGCCATCCGACGCGCGCTTTTGGCGGCCCGGCGCGGCCCCGCATGACAGGATCAGCGGGCCAGAGCGGCCCTGTACGTTTCCGCACCGCGTCACGCCGCACCCGTACGCCGCGGTCGCGCGCTAGGCGGAGGAGGCGGGTGCCGGCCGACTGCCGACGAACCGAGTTGCCACCGACGCCACCGGTGCCGCGTCGCCGTCGCCGTGGCCCCGCCGCGGGGATCGCCGATCCCTGGCCAAAACCGGCACGCTTCGGGTTGCCCCTGCCCCGACGCCGAGCCCAAGCCAAAAATCCCGATCGGTCTCGCCGTGGCGTGCCGGCCTGGGTGTCCCATCAACCGGCCCCTCTCAATCAATCATGGGGCAGTCTGTTTGCTGGTTTCAGCCAGGTCAATCATGGGATAGTATTTTTTTTCCAACAAATCAGTATCAGTCGGACTTATTAGTCCAAAAATCAACCAGTGAACAGGATCATGGTGTTTAGTTTATCATCCAATCCAAACTTGTTAATTGCTAATCGTAGATGGCGGTGTTTTCTTAATCTTGGATATAGCCGCATGGACGCGACGCAACGGCCGGAGATGCGACGTTTGAGCGAGGAGCGTATAAAGAATCGGCTGCTCTAGAAGCCAGCCGCACGGCTGCTTCGAGCACTGTAGCAACAGTGCCTTGTGTCTGCAGACCAGCCGAGAGTAGAGCAGCCGCGTTCTTTGTTGCCGGATTTGGCCGGGTCTATTGGTGCTGGCTGCCATGCCGCCAAACTAGAAGATGTTGTTTCTTGTTTGGATTTGGACTAAACTGTACCTTATCTGCACCTTGTTCAGTGACCCAGGAGTATGTGATTGTAAGTTGTTTTCCGGTCACAAATATAAAGTTTGTCTATGTAGTGCTAAAACTTTGTTTGATTCTTCAAGAGTCCTTTTAAAACTTACTCTCTAAACCATTATTTGGAGAGTTATTTGAATAAATCAATCTCTATGTAGTGCTAAAACTTTGTTTGATTCTATATAAGTTGTTTTCCTGTGCACGCTGTCAAGGAATGCTGAAACCAGCAGCCAAACACTCCCATAGAGTATCTCTTGAGTTACTCTTCTGATAGCCTTTTTACTTCTCCCATCGCAAATATAAGCTTATCTTTGTTCCGACTCAAATTTTCCTGTTTATTTGATCACCGGCATCTAGAAAATCATATAGTCACAGAAGGATATTTTTTGGTAATGTAATAATAATAATAAATAGATACGTTATTACTACTCAAAGTTTCAAGTTAAAATTGTGTATATAATAACACTTTTTCTATTGAACAGTCGCCTAAAATCAGGCGTTTATTCCGGCGGCGTGCCGGTACAAACTGATGTCCTTATGGATTTTGTTTGACAGACCTATTTTGAGTGTCTGTGAACAGAGAGAGCAGGGCAAATACCTATCGCCTGAACAGAAGCCTAATTTCAGGCAACTGCATATAAAAAGTTATTATATTGATGACGAGAGAAAGTAGGATGATTATAAACGGAAGATAATTCTATTCAATTCAACAGAAGGCCGAACGCACTAGTCTTCTCTGCCCGTTTTCTTCTTCGGAGAGTCTGGAACGACCAAACCCATACCATAGCAGAGGCGGGAGGCGGTGGAGGTGGAGCCAGAAACGCCGGAGCCGGAACACGTCACCGTCACGCACCTCGCCTTTATTATTCAAACCTTCCTCCTCTCCTTTGCCCTCACTCACCTACCCTTCTCTCTCACCCTCACACCCCGCCCTCCTCCCGGTCCCGGCGAGGCCCCCCCTCCGCTTCCGACTCCGCGCGACTGCGCCCGACCCCAGTCTCGCCCGCGTCCACTGGCATGGCCTCGCCCACGGTCGCCTCCCCGAGCCGGGCGAGCCCCACCGACATCCCCACCGCCGCGCCCTCGCCCGCCTCCCCGCCGCGGCGCCTCGCGTCGGCGCCGCCCGCCGTCGACGCGTCCGGGTCCTCCTCCCCGGCCTCCGCCCACTCCGGGGACCAGCTCTCCGCCGCCGACGCCTCGGTGGGTGCCGCGCGCAGGGCGCTTGCGTGCGAATTCGATCACCGCTGGAATCGCACCTCGTTTCCTTTTTTTCCTTCTCTGCCCTGGTGCGTGTCTGATGTGGCGCGGTGTTTGTGTTTCATCGTGCAGAGCCCGCTGCTCGCGAGCAGGAGTGAGGAGTACAGGCTTCTGTTCCGGCTGCCGCCCGACGAGGTAAATTGGACGCGCGGCCGATTGGTGCCGAGTGATCCCTAGCTCCTTCCTCCCTCCGGTGATCTAGCTGTTGACTTTGGGCCGTGATCGTTCCGTTCTGGGGGAATTTGGATGCTCAAGTGCTCGTACTGGTGCTGAGGGGATTTGATTTCGTGGGGGCTTTGACTTTTGATCACCCGTCGTTTTCTAGGAGAAACCTTATCATAATTAATTTATTCGCTGCTTTACCCTTTGCTCTGGAGTATGCCAGCATCTTGCTCCTTTGCTCTGGAGTACGCCAGCATCTTGCTTTGAGAGTTTGGTTTGAATTATATGAGTGAGTTCGGAGGAGCCTTGTTATAATTATTGGTTTGACTTCACTCCTAAGCGGTTTGTAGTTTCATAAGTTTCCTTCCGCGTTTTGATTTGGTTGACAGTTGGTTGAACCACTGTACAAAAAGGAGGATTTTGAGCTATAATTCTTAATTATTTTGCTGATAGTTGATTGAAAGGTAGTCTGATAGGTGAATTTTGAGCAATAACGCTTAAGCCAAAGTGTCCAACTGTCCATCTAACATAGCCTGTTACCATACATGTCAAGTTTACCATTTGATTCGAGAGCACTTGCCATTCCGTAACATTTATTTATGGACTATCATGTCCATTTGAATAAAGCAAAACACTGATTTCCACAAATGTTGTTTGGTTGGTACACTTTCATTTATGCAAGTGAGAAACTGAGAATGCAATTCGTTGTTTGCATTTTACTTTACTTTTCGTGTCATCCAGGTTCTCGTGCAAGATTTTAACTGCGCTGTCCAAGAAAATATTCTTCTTCAGGTAGTTCTTACATGATCGTCTCCATGACACTACAATAAAGTATACATTTATCTGTCATCCATTATATTTGGTGAAAATATGAGTACATGCTCCTATTAAATTTATGTGTGCTTTTTTCCCTAAATATATCTCCTGTTAACCTCAAGTGAAATAAATGAACAGATTTTGGCCTTGTAAAATTATTAAGTATTCATCAATGCTAAGCCAGTGCCTTGTGTCTAAAAAATCTACTGGGTCATGTGACAACTTTGAAATTGTTTTTGAATTAAATTGCACACTTATCTTTTTATCTTTTAAGGAAATAAATGTAATATTTAAACTGAGCATTCTTAATGGACTTTGTTACTAAATTGTGTTATCTTGCAGGGGCATATGTATTTATTTCTTCACCATATATGCTTTTACTCTAACATATTTGGATATGAGACAAAGGTAATAACTAATAAATGATCCAAGGAGAGCATCACCATATAGCTGTTCTAGCTTGTTTAGTTGACTTCGAGAAGTTCCCTGACATTGTTCCTGTTATCCAGAAAACAATACCTTTGCAAGAGGTAACTGATGTTCGTAAAGCAAAGACAGCTGCCATTTTTCCTAATGCCATTGAAATTGTTGCTGGTACTAGAAGGGTGAGGGAGCTATCATTGTCTAAGTTTCTTGTATGTATACATTATTAAACCACTTGCACTAATGTCCTGTTGCTTTCAGCACTTTTTTGGATCTTTCTTGTCACGTGATGAAGCCTATCGAATTATAGTAGATGGCTGGGAACAACATGTTAGTGATGCAACATTGCTCCTTGAATGTCAGGTTAGCAGATTTGTTTCTTTATGAATCATTACCACATTGGTAACTTCAATCTGTTGACCTGGAACTGCCACTTTGGAGTTACTGTTTGTTTCTAAACTATTGTTCACGTGGAATCTTTTACGGCACTATATAGGAGACAAAGTCAGCTAGTATCAGTGAAGAAAATGGTTATGTTTTATTGGAAGGAGCAAAGGAATCTAAACAAGATGAAGATTCATCACCACCGGACAGGTTTTGGCTTATGGACAAAAATGATTTACGCTTGTCTTAAATCTTGAAATCGACTTCTTTTCTCTATAATTATTTATGATTCAAACATATTGGACTGCAGGTCTGTCGATAGTACAGCTGTCTCAAGTAGTGCTGATGGTGGTGATTCGAACATCAACATTTCCAAAAGGTTTTCAAAAGTTGAGGAGAATGGACTCGAAGACAACATCATCGCACTAAACCCGTTCAATTTGGAACCACTTGATGATGCTCCTCCTAGTGGTTTGTTGCCATCTTCGTTATTCCTATTTATTTTTATATCATTAATTGTTTGCTAGCCACTCGTTACATGATTTGTTTTTACTAAACGTCCATCATGCCTTTTCTCGCAGTACCTGAATCTTACACTATGATCACGGAGTCAAAGTTTCAGGTTTGCATGATGCCATTTCTTTGTAGTAGTATTGACAATTACGTTTACAACACTAACATCCTAAAAACAGGTGCCTGTGGAGGTTTTCTTTAATTTCTTATTGTCTGATGGTGCTTTTGGCTTTGTGGATGATTTGCACAAAAAATGTGGTGACAAAGGTTGATGCCAATCTATCCTTTCCTTAATCATGAACATCTTTTGGTCTTTACTCTTTAGAAGTATTTTGAGTTTTGACCTGGATGACCTGCAGAATTTAGTTGCTCGAAATGGCGTACAGATGAGCAAGGGGGACTTGTAAGGGATGTCTCATTTTTGCATCCGATAAAAATTTATCTTGGTAAGACAAGATCTTTCAGTTGACTGAAGAAATTAATTGGCATCGAATATGACATGGGCTATGACTTGCTTTATATTTTCTTATGGTCCACTTTGATTACTCTGAATTGTCTTTAGGTGCAAAATTTGGGACTTGTCAAGAGGTTCAGAAACTTCGTCTCTACAAAAACAGGTTAGTCTAAGATCCATTTTCTTCCAGTTAAGTGGTGTCTTCACTGAGCCTTTGGTCATTATGGAATAAAAAATTGAGATTGTAGAACTAGCAATTGTTTAGTGTCCTCTTTTGTTGGTTACTTGGTTTTATCAAACTTAGCTCTGTACCTGAACAAAACTCATGCCTTAATTTCTTATTTTTGGATTTTAGTTCGATCAGGTTGCCTTCTTGGTAGTTGATTGCTATGTGCATGTCTTAGCTTTCTAACCTGATGTCCCGTGCCAACTTTTGTGTTAAGATATTATCAATTTGGCATCCAGACATGATCATGCTAGCAGTAATCTGTTGCTAGTTCTGTTCAATCTGCCGCATGCTTGTTTCTTGTAGCAATGTTTCCCTTCCGAAGAATAATTGATGTTACAGTTCCCTGCAATTAACTTCTTTCACTTCTTTGTAGGCGTCTAATGATTCAAACCTCTCAGTCAATAGGTGATGCCCCATATGGGGACCATTTCACTGTAGAGGTGAGTAATCCAAATGCTGTTTATAATGTTGGTTTTATCTAGCTTGGAATTTCCTTTTTGTACAATGGAAAATAATGTATTTATGATTTTCATTTTGCTTCTATCAAGTATCAACTTCTGTTCTTATATGCCATATTAACATTGATTTGCTCTTAGCTTTAAGCCCTTGACTCTTGTTTGATCTTATTTTTACCTTCAGGGCATCTGGGATGTCGAACAGGATAGCCTAGATGAGAACTGTTGTGACCTCAGGATATATATTAATGTAGCCTTCTCAAAGAAAACAATATTTAGAGGTAATTTACATCCATTGTATCCTGAATGCTCTAGCGAGAACCATATTTGGAATTATCCTGCATCCTTGTATCCTGGATCCTCCACTTTCAAAATGTCCTCAATATTCTTAGGGCCCATTTTTTGCATGCCTTCAGAATTAACCCCCCACCAACTCTAGTTTATGCGAGAAAGTTTGTTAATTTGAGTTAGGCCAACTTAACCTGGTGCCTGAATCTTACAAGCTATGCTTTTTATGTTAAGTTTCAGCTCATGTGTTGATAAACCAAAACATAATTTGCTAAGGAAACCCCTAGGGTTACAACTTATATCAGCTCTATATATTTCCACAACAATGGTGCACATTTTTATTTATGTATTTACTGTTTTTTAGTCGCATAGTTGGAAAAACATACAAAGTAATGGTTACCTGGGTACAAATGACACAAGCAGTTATTGTTAGTAAGTGGAGCCCCTCCCCCCCTGCAGTTCAATATGTCATATACTTGATTTGGCCAAGTTGGTTCTTTGGATTGCCGTGCTATTTTCAGTGAAACTGAGGGGCTTAGTTCTAAGGATTGTATCACTATGAATAGAACGGAGTTGATGTAGAGACTCTTGCAGATGTTGTTTATCGTGGATCAGATTCCATGCTTGAATTTTGCTATCATGGTGTCTGTATGTTTGTGCAATTAGTTTATTCCAACACCCGAATCATATATAGTACCATTTATTTAGAACGTATGGCATCACTGCTTATATTCTTTAAATCTCTAAATCACAGGAAAAATAGAGCAGTCAACAAAAGATGAATGCCGTGAAGTTTTCAGCCTCTGGATTAAGCTTGTACGTCTATTCTCATACTTGAAAATATTTCTCAGTGCTACTTTCCATTTGGAGGTGTATATAATCTTTTCTCATTTCATGTTTTTAGGGTCATGATCTTTTGAAGCAGGAATACGATCGATCAAAAGGTAATTTGTACTTCACGGTTCAGTCAAATAGTTGCTGCAGTTCCAACTTTTCTCTATATGAACCGCATCCCCTTTCACTTCAAATGCTAAGTTATGAAGCAATTAAATGGCTATTTTTTCCATCCATTCTTACAGGCACCTCCAGCACAACTGATTCTGGTGTTCAACCAGGGGCTACAACAAACGAGGAAAATACCGTGGAAGTAGCAGTTCCAGTGGTGAGTTCCTCACAGGATGAATCTGGTGCGAGAAGCCTCATTCCTCCTATTCAAGATCACCAGCAGAGAACAGGGAGAGATTCTTCCATCGCGTCCACTTCACAAGAATTGTGGGGTTCACTAACTTCATACATGAGACCGAGCCAACTTGGTCCAGTACTAGCAGTGGCACTGGTGGCTATCATTATCCTAATGCAGGCAAGTTTTTTTTTTGGATTTTATGCAGTTTGTTGTGCTGAATAACCTCAACTGAAAAATATCTGAACATAACCAATGGCATGAAATGATGAAAATGATCAATGAGTCATCCTCTGACTACCAACCATTCTGACATATACTTCTGATGCAGGTGACCATCATAGTTCTGCTAACTAGATCCCCCCAGGTCCAAATGGCTCCTCATGGGATCTCGACGGGCAGTTTAGGGTACAGCAAAGAAAGCATGGAGTGGGTGCAGAAGCGCCTCAGCTTACTAAGCGAGGAGATGCAGGTAGCGGAGGCGCACATGGAGAAGATGAGGCACGAGTTTGCCTGGCTCAGGTCTTACCTGGAGAGACTGGAGAGGCTGAGGGGCAGCAAATGACCGCAGCGCGTGTACATGACAGGGACACGAGTTCGTGATGCGGATTCGTAGGTGTATACGATACAACTCGGAAATGTTGTTCAGTGTTTGTTCTGTTGGTACAGATGGTACAGATGCAAACGGAGAGGTGGAGTGTTGTTGCAGAGGTATTGCCATAAGGCAAAACTGCCAGATCCCGGTATAGGATTCGATGTAAATAGTTGAATCTTCGGTTCTTACCCATTACGCTGGGGTGATGTACAAGTACAATGCGAGGGATGTGTCATTGCAATGACGCCACGGCGGTGTGACAAAAAAAACTTGACTTAACTTTTCGAAACGTAGTTCTTTTTATTCCTGCTTTATGTATTGCTCTGAGACATGACACGGGTGGCAAAAGGACATGGTTTTCGATCTGGTTCCAGTTTACAAATCATGAACGGAAGCCCGCATATCGTAACGCCTCTACTGCATCAGCATCACATTCACTCTTCAGTTTTGCAACACCAATACCAGACCTGAACAAGGTGTCTTTGCAGGTCAACGTCCATCATGTTCCGAGTTGTCGTTTGAGGTTACCCATCTGTTTGGCGATTGTGCTAGAATATTCCATTCGTAATAAGTTAATAACTTTTAGGAATATAAATTTTGGTGAATAATAACAATTCTGGATTTCTCGTCTTTAGAACGGAGAGCAAAGATGGCGTAAGATATAGAAAAACTATTGAAGGGTACAAATATATAGAAAACGATTTTTACTTAAATAACTTTCTAAATAATGATTTAGAGAAAATTTTAGAAAGATTCCTGGAGATGCTCTAATCACGCACGGAGATCAGGTGTAGCACGCGCACCTGCTACTGCACGGAGATCAGGTGCAGTCGCTCCTGCTAATGCAAGTGATCTTGGCCGTCCGTTTTCGCAGCTAGTGGTTTCTTAGTGATGACTGATGAACGGTTTGTGACGAACGGAAGCTCTTTGCTGCAGCAAAATCCACACCTTCATATGATACATGGCGTATTTCAGTGCATGTGGTGTGAAATGGTCAATACCACGTAGGGAGTATGTTTGATGTGCTATTGCAAAATTTGCCATTGGCTGAGTTGTCTGCACAGAATTAAGCACAGAGCGAAGAGCTACGTGCTCGCTGTGCTGTCAGATTTTGCAAGAACTGTCCTCCACAGTGAGAGAGAGCTCAAGGATGTTGCGTGCCAGACTCTGAATCGCTCCTGATGCTCTACTATATAGGTTGATTTTGCAGATGCATTATCATTCACATCTCGACTGAAATTCAGATAGCAACATCAGATAGGTGGAGGCGTACATTATTATCTCAATCAAGGTAAATTTTTTTTTGAAACGTATATCGTAGATAATTCAGATATCTGTAGACACATCTTGGAACGAAGGGAGTACATGTCAATCTGAGGTTAATTAATATAGGATTAAGTCCACTTTTGGTCCTTCAACTATTGTGTTGGTCTAATTTTAACTCTCAGCTATAAAACCGTTTAGTACCGGTACCCAACTGTCAAAACCGTTCACTTTTAGCACCTGGGCGGGAGCAAGGTTGTTTTTTACCGACGTTGAGCGGTTTTGACCACGCCACGCTGGTGTTGACTACCACGTAGGACGCTGGCCTGCATCTCAGCGACATGTGGGGCCCGCGCGTCACCCACTCATTCCCTCTTTCTCCTTCCTCCGGCTCCAGCAGCATTCGGACAGGCAAGCTCGGCCCCATTGCGGGCACGGGAGGTCCGCCCCAGCGACGGACGAGGCCGCCTGAGCTAGGGGATGGCGGCGGATGGGGTGACCGAGCCACCGGGGCCATAGGCGCCGACGGGGACGAGACAGTGAGGCGCAGCTCCAGTCGAGCCGTCATCGGGCTTGCGCGTGCGCGCTGCTCCGCCACCGGACGAGCAGGCGGCTGTGCCATGGCCGGCGAGCGCAGCTGCTGCACTACTACTAGGCGGGCGAGCACGCCCCCACTGCTTTGCGCCCGCGCCGCTACCGCTACAGGCTGCGGCGGTGCGCGAGCAGGGCGGCGGCGCAAGCAGGCTGCGGCAGCGGTGCGCGCTCTGCGGCAGCCATGCATGCCCAGTCAAGCTCGCCAGCCGCTGTGGTGCCTCGTTGTGGTGCTCTCCATCACCCAGAGCTCGCCCATCCACCCCAAGCTCCACGCTGCTCTCTCTCTCTCGCTCTCTGTTGCTTAGCAAGCATACTGCTCTGGTCGATCTCCTCCCTCAAGCAGCCAGCGGCCGAGATGATTAGCCTACAGGAACCCCCTCATCCTCCTCTCCCTCCCCATGCTCTTGGATTCATGAATGGTGTCTGGAATCGCCGGATGACGAAGCTCCAGTAGTCGTCCATAGCGGACGAGCCTTGGGAGCACGACGACCATGCCTCTGCCTCTCCTCTCTCTGTTATTTTATTTTGTTTTCCACCGGTAAGTCACGGCATCCACATATCCATCCATCTCTCTGAGCCCACACACACATATACACCACCAAAAGCTGAACAACGTGGTGTGGTCAAAACCGCTCAACGTCGGTCAAAATAGTCTTGCCCCTGCTCAGGTACTAAAAGTGAACGATTTTGACAGTTGAGGTACCGGTCCTAGACGATTTTAAGTTAAAATTAGACCAACACAATAGTTGAGGGGCTAGAAGTGGACTTAATCCATTAATATACTATGTAGTTACTAGTATGAATGAGAAGTAAAAATGGCTCGGGCACTGATGTACATTGTCCAGGAGAAAGCTGGTGTGCACGTCTCATGGCGACTGCAGCGCCGGCTCGAGCAGGTCGCACTCGAAGTTGGTGTGCTCCAGGAACGGCCCCAGCCTGACGAGCCTCGGGATGACCACGCCGTCGCGGGCCGCGCACACCGCCGCGTTGTCCCACTGCACCAGCGCGCCCACCAGCCCCGCGCGCGCATGGCAGCGGCAGCCTGGGCTCCGTCCGCGCCGGCGCCGCCGGCGTCGGCGAGGCGGCGCGCCAGGACGACGGCGTCCTCGAGCGCGCAGCAGGCACCCTGGCCGAGGTTGGGCGTCATGGGGTGCCACGCGTCGCCGGCCAGCACCACCCGGCCGCCCTCGACGCGGCCGGGGCCAGCCTGGGCCAGAGCCACCGGTCCACCAGCGGCGTCCTCACCACGGTGCCCTCGGGCGTGCTGCGCATCACCGCCAGGAGGTCCGATGGCCAGCCGCGGACGAGCTCCAGCTCCTCGCTCTTGAGCGCCGCGGGGTCGGTGATCTTCGGCCCTGCCAGCCAACAACACCAGAACCAACCGCGCCATTATGGTCAGCGAGTGAAGGTGCCATAGGCCGTGCAACGCTAGAAGCTGGAATCTTCATCTGAGCAAAGCAATCGTGGCATTTGTTATCTGAATAAATATACTAGTACCTGGATCTGGCCTGTTGAAGCAGATGAACCAGTAGACTTTGGTTGGGGAGACGGGGACAAAGCCGGCACGGACGCCTCGGCCGTAGATGTAGTTCACCTTGGGCTCGAACGGCTGGCCGTCGGCGTACTCCGCGAGGCCCCGGAACGCCATGTGCCCGACGTACCGGAGCTCCGAGAAGCCCATCCACCTCGCGATCGGCGAGTTCACTCCGTCGCAGCCGATCACAATCTGCAGGCAGGCAGAAGCAGTTGTTTTCATTCGTGTCAAAATGGCATGAGAGATACGTGTTGGTTACTTACGTGTTATAAACCAAGCCTTCAGCCTGTTTCGTTTGGCTGTGGCTTATCGTAAAAGATCGTAAATTTTTAGCTGGAATAGTGTTTTTCTCTCACACAAACCAGCCAGCAGTACTTCTTCACGAACCAGCAACGATACGAACCAGCCAACCGAACAGGCTGCTTGTTCCGTTGTTCGGGTTTGGTGAGTCAAAATTCAAAACTGCACCAGAATTCTTACAAGCTTTTAACTGCTGCACATGGGAGGTAGACAACTCCGGAAGTCTGCCGGATGTCTTTGGAAAATCCGAATCATCCACCTAATCATTCCAAGCAGGATACATTACAGGAATCATTACAGTATTACAACATTTGTACAAGTATACAAACATATTACATCGGATAAACAACGAAAGTCTTACAAACCATAAGTTTATAAACCATTTATTTAGTTATTACAAACCATAAGTTTTAGCCATTAAGGCAGTGGAGTAGCATGACAGGTACCACGTATATTACAACACACAAAAGAGTTTCACCTTGCCCAAGAGTGCACAACAAACTACTACTCCTAGGACTCTTCCTCCAGAACCGTCGTACAACAGGGACACATGCCAACCTACTGATGAGGCTCACCTGCAACAAGGGTTTAACGAATCCTGAGTACAAATGTACTCAACAAGAATTAACTGACGAAAGAAAAAGACTAAGGATATGCAGGCTTACCAGGAATCAAGATAAGTCTAAAGCAAGAATCAAGATTAACTTTACATAAAAGCTTACTAATGATTAATCCTTACTTTTAATGTTTTAGTTCAAGTTAATTCATTACAAGTCTCCAATTTGCACCTGATCCAATTCAACCACTTCATTAACCATCATATCAGGTGATCATAAGTACCAATGTTTCATTAATTAATCTACGGTGTATGGTCGGAGGATCGGGTCTCCTTCTCCGAGAAGCACGACGATTCGAATTGATTAAGCCTAGCTAGGGTTTTCTTACCACACGACATATGCAGGTCCTAGACCTACATATATCACCCTTCACTCGGGTCCTCAAAAACGTGAACCGGTCTACGCTACTCGAGAATATAGTACTCTACCATCCTACGTCATCCATGATGTTTCCGTAAGGTGGGTACACGCTACTCTCATCATCTCCCACTCCCAGTGCGCAGTTAGCTTTTCACAGAATGGAATAGCCGAGGTCTTAGGCTTACCGGAGTATGTGGCCAGTACTACAAAGTCCCGACCACACGGTGCCCTACAACGAACGGTCCTCAATCGACACAGACGGGACAAGCACGACCAGGCAAACCCTATCGGCTTAACCACCAAAGACCATTTCCATGTCCCGTCTGATCTCAAGTTATTCAAATTCATTATTAAGCCTCAGGACATCTCCTAAGTATCGAACCATTACGAATGATGAAATCATCACCCGACTCTTATAAACTAAGCATTGCTAAGCATAACTAATCCATGATAACTAGCAGGGTGACAAGGAATAGTATTGAAATGCGTAGACATGCAATGTTTGGTACTCAATCAACTCTTAATCTTACTTAATGCAACAGGCATAAGACTTAAGTGATTAACGTTTATAAAACACAATGAATGGGTTTATGCTCTAGGGTTTGCCTTTGATGTTGGGGTTGTCAGATTCCCCAGATGGACCATGATATCAAACCCAACCTCCTCATAGTGAAAGCCCGCCAGGGACTTGCTCAACCAAAGGTTCACCACTCTCATTCACTAAACGTAAATAAAATGCATGCTTTAGAATGATGAAGTGCTAAGCATGGATTATGAAGACTAAATAAGATTAATTACTTGAATACAACTTTCCTTCACTTCTAATTAGGTTAACTACTCACAAAGCACTTGGTTGTTTATTATTAACAAGGTAATTATGAGTACATCAAGCATCAAATTAAGTTGCTAAGGAACAACAAGGGATTAGTGTTCCAAGGTCTACAATCAATCTCAAAGTACACTCAAATCATTTTATGATTTATCCTAAGTATTTTGGTATTTATTAATTAATAAATAAAGCATGGAATTAAGTGGATAATTTATATTCATCAAAACAGATCCAAACTTTTTGTGAAGGTTGATTTAAGCATATAAATCATACACAAAAAATTTCATGATTTTAGAATAATTATTTTAGCCTATAAAAATTATAGAAGGTCCATTTATTAATTAAAAGATGTAATTTCTGATCATAACAAAAGTACTGAAAATGATCAACTCATATTTTTCCTAGGTAGAGTACATGATAGCAAGGCTACACAAAAATTTTCAAAAATTTATCGGCCTTAATTATTTAGTTATGAATTAATTAAGTTTCAACACTTAATAACATTTTCCTGAAAGACGAAAAAGGATAAAACCTATTCTCACCCGCTCTCTTTCTGCCCCCTCTCACTGATAGCGGGACTAGGGTCACGTCCGCGCTGACCGTGGCGCGGCGGCCATTGACCGGCGGGTAACTCATCGACGGCGAGCTCGCCGGTGACAAGCTCAACTCCGACAGACTTGCCACTTCCTCGCGCATCTACTGGTGGCACTAATCGAGCATCTAGGGCAGCGCAGCACGCACGCTGGCGACTAAGGTGGCTTGGCGGAGCTCTAGTGTGACGGCGGCAATCTACAGCGACAACTCCGGCGACGCGAAGGCCACCAACAGACTCGCCTCACTCACACGAACCCGTCCAAGGGGTCTGTTGGACGGATTAGGGCTAGCAATGAAGCTTGCCCATGACCATGGCGGCACGGCAAGTGCAAGGAGCTCACTTGCTGGCAATGGCATTCTAAGAAAACCCAGCCCTAATCAGCCTAGCTAAGGATTCCTACACAATCGGGGTGCTCACCATGACTTGCTCGGCTACACGGTTGAAGCAGAGACGGAGTAGGCGGCGCTGCTGATGGTGACGGTGGCTCCAACGGCGCGAATAGAGGAAGACAACGATCTTCCGGTGTGTCCTCATGAGACGAACAAGGAAAATTACGAAATGATGAGCAACAGGTATGCCATAGCAATGTGAAAGTGCATTTACCCCTATGTGGGTTTTAGTGTATTGATGACATCCAAATTAGGCACTAATGAGATCTTAATGAGATATATTGCGCTTTAGTCATTTGAAAGTTTCAAAGAGTTGATTTAAGATGAAATGATATCCCTCAATTCTTCAAGTGCAAAAGGCGAACGAACCCAAAGCGCGCTTCAAGCATTTCTAATTTTGTTTTGGGTTTAGGTATGCCGTACTATAAAGATGAATACAAGTTTAGATGGTCCGAGAAAGATAGAGTACTCAAATATAAAAATAAAATCAAAAGAGAGACACAAAATTACCTCACGAATATTTAGATATAGTTCTTGGACTTTTGGTAGTCGGAGTCCCAGTGTGAGCCGGGAGTTCTGGCCGTCGAAAATTCTAGCATTTGGTGCTGGAAGTTCTGGCACTTGAGGACTTAGCCATCAGCCCACCTACGCTCCTCGCCCATCGAAAGTCCCAACGGGAGTCGGGAGTTTTGGGTACCGGAAGTTCCGGCTCCCGTCGGAAGTCCCAGCGCTTTGGGACTTAGCCCCCTGGCTCGGCTCTAGGTCGGGAGTTCCGACGTGAGTCGGAAGTCCCGATTGCTTAAGTTTCGCGTTCCACCGGAAGTTCGACTCAAATATGTTGACCACCTTTGACTGCGCTTGAATAGTGTTTTACAGAAGGGCCGAAAGTTCTGGCGATCTGTGTTGGAACTTCGGACCCAGATCTGAACGGTTGGATTTCACTATAAGTATAAATAGTTCTCTCATCTCTTCTAATCAGGCACCACTTATTCATTGCTCACTAACCTTCATCCAAAACAGTTCCTAAGCATTCAAGGCACCCATTTTCTCTCCTCTTTGCTCCGATCTTTGATTCCTCTAGGGTTTTGAGTGAGGGAGAGTGGATTGAGTGAGAGAATCACTTTAGCAAGCTTGAGCACTTGATTTTTTTGTCAAGCTAGTTGGATTTGCGTCTATTACTCTTAGGTTCTTGGAACCCTAGCCAGCTAGGCGTCGCCCAAGAGCTTCCATCTTATGGAAGAGCCTTGGGAAGTTTGTATTACCCTTGATTTCTTAGTCAAAAGCTCAAGTAACCTTTGTGGTTGCTTTGAGAGAGGCAAGGAGGTGGAAGAGACTCCGACCTTGGTGGTCACCTCAATAATGAGGACATAGGACCTCCTTTGTGGGGTTGCCGAACCTCAGGATAAATCTTGTGTCACGCGTGTTTGTTGTTGTTGTGATTTGTTCTATCACATTTGTTCATGTTGGTTTGTCTTCCTCTCCAACTCTCCTCTTTGGGTTTGGACTTGATCTATGGAGTGGTGACCTTTCTATTGTCAAAGGAGCAACCCCAACACTTCACCGTACCACTAGAGAGTGGGGTTGTAAGATATTTTCACTCAAAGTTTATTTTAGCACTTGTAGTGAATTTCACGTAGCTGCCGGAACTCCCGGCTATTTGCATCGGAACTTCCGTTGCCGAAAGTTTTGGCCGAAACAGTCGGAACTTCCAACTATCACTGATATTTGACTTTGAGTTTATGTAGAAATTTTTAGATACGCCTATTTAGCTCCCCTCTAGGCATTGTTTAGATCCTTTCACAAAGCTAGAACAGGAAAGATGAGGGAACAAAGGTAACCCAGGTGGCCTAGCCACGGTGAGGTGGACACGGCGGCGCTCGACGAACATCGAGGAGGAAGATGGTGTTACGTGGACAACTCTGGTGGGTAGAGCTAGTGCTAGCAAGTCGAGCAGATGAGCAACACAGTGGTAAAGCTTTGGTCAAGGTGAATTGGACAGAGGAGAAGTGGTGGCGGGGCAAAAG